TGCCGTGCAAGGTAGCAAGGAAGCCCCCCCCAACCCCAGCCCCGGAAAGCAGCGTCTATGCATCACACACCCCCCCCGCCCGGCCGCCTAAGCCACGACTCGCACGCTGCCTCTCCTCACGCCGTGGCGCCGAATCCTGAGCTTGGGGAATCCTCCGGCTCCCTCTGAAGGCTCCCCGCACCACCGGCAGCTTTGAAACGCCGCGCGGAGCCTCGGAGGGAGCCGGGGTGGCCAAAAGCTCTGGCGACTTGGAGCCAGTACCTGGAACTCAAGGGCCCACCGCTGCCTGCCTTCTCCTTGTCCCCGCGGCGCGGATGGAGACCTGCCTCCTCCGAACCGCCCGCTAAATTCCGCTTCTTGCCGCCTTCAGTGCCACGCGGTTTCCCCGTGGGAGAGGCGGAGGGTTTTCCGGCTCCCTGCCCGCTCCCCGTCCCCCGGGAGTGAAAAGGGGTGAGAGCAGCCGTCCCCGCTCGGCGGGCAGCCGTGCGCCCCGCAGGGCGAACCCACCTGCGCCGCGCTCCGCCGCGCTCCGCCGCGCTCCGCCGCCGGCCCGAGCCCGCCCGCCCGGCCCCGGCTCCCCCCGTTTCCGCGCCTGCCCTTCTCCACGCCCCGCGCCCGGCGGGAAAGCCTCCCGCCCGCCCGCCCGCCGCCCTGCCTCCTGCGGGACGGCGCGCACAGCCAGCCGCTCAACTCCGCGGCCGTGCCCAGCGCCGGGCTTCCCTTCGTGTCCCTGCGTTGGTGGGTATTGCAGCTCTAAAAGGAGCTGTGCATTAAATGACGGCTCGAAATGGAGTGTGAACTGGCCCCTATGTTCCTCTATGTTACTCACTTGCCCCCCGTGCTGCATTCTAATTCAGACAAAAACGCTCTGCTGGCAGTCACCACATAAGGGTGTAATATGCATACGTTTACATATATACGGATGTGTATATATATGTACACACAAATATACACATGCATGTGTATACACACATATATATACAAAGGCACTTTCTTTTCGGCACCAAGGGCTGTAACATCAGCCCCAGAAGATGCATTGCACACATGTATATGCGTTTGTGCATATATATATATACATATATATATAAACTTTCTTGAATTAGTGATCTAGTAGGTGTCATCCCTGCCCATGGCAGGAGGATGGAAATGTAATGAACCTTAAGACCCCTTTCAACTCAAACCATTTACAATTCTATAAGTCACCAAGAGGATTAAAGACAGCTTGTTGCACTGTGTATTCCAGGTGGTGCTACCCAGGATGGCAGGCAACCTACAGAGCCCTGTGCACCTTAGCAATCCCCCCATATTTGGAGGATATAAGTACCGTATGTATTCAGTATCCAAAGGGCAGGCACAAACTCTAAGATTAGTTTTTCTCTGGTTGCCACCTCCAAGTTCCTATCTCTCCAGAACTGATATCTACTCTGCTGTGATCAACACATGTTGCTCTGCTGAAGTGCAGACGTGGAGGATTCCTTAGGTACTTTGTCCCCCAGCAGAGGGGAGTGCACCTGAATTTAACCTTATATCCGTGCAGTTAAACAGTTACAGAAATATTTTTTTTTTTTATGTAGCTGGGTGTTTAAAGGAAAACTGGGCCCTCCTTTTCTCTCCATTCACTGTGCTGTGCAGGCAGAGGCAGTGGCACCAGAAAATCCCTGAAGCAGCTTTGACCATTAAAACATTTGTTCCATTAATAAACAGCCTCAGAAAATTCTTTGCAGATGGTGATCAGTTTGGGTTAGAAATTAAAACCAGAAGTTAAAACACCCCCAAAAGTTCTGGCAGATTCTCATTCTCACACTCTCTCAGCAAGATGATCTCTAACACACATCTTCCTGCAGAATCCAAGTATCAAGCTTGTATTTTAAGACAGACCTACAAAACATTTCCAGATAAGCAAAAAGTCCTCAAAGCCCAAGAAAAAGTCAGTGGTAACAAGTCTGAGACAGCTACTGGTGCTTTTTGATCTGCAACAATGACACTGTGAGTCTCATCCTAAGGAAAAGATCTCTTTACTGATCTGCTCAGTAGCAGCTTCCACAGCTGGATCTCTCCTTCTGCACTGGCCATGGATATTTTTCATGGTTATGGGCTTCTGGGGGCAGATTAGTAGGGTGCACTAACAACATGAGGAGAGCAGCAGACAATGCTGCCAGATAGTACAACAGGAGGTTCTTTTCTTAAATTTAAGATCCATATCAGATCAGATTAAATTTAAAAGCTCTCATCTCCAATTAAAGCTCACAGGCTGCATCTCCCAGGCAATGACAGATCCAGGCCTTGGGTCTGCCTTTCCTCAGCCCCCTTTCTGTAAGCAATTCTGATCTGGAAGGTCTTCTGGGTAAGATGCAACACAGACAAGACTGCTGCTCTCCCTACCTTGCCTCATCTTTTCTCTCCTCTTCTATCTCCTCTCTTCTCTGCAAAATCCAAACAAAACAGAAAAGCAAGGTCACCTGCTTGGGATGTCTTATGTCACCTCCTCTCTAGCTTTGAGATGTGCCATTTTCTCACTCATGGAGGCCCACAAGCCCCCCTTGGTAGTCCCTGGAACATGGATGCAACAGCAGCTTGGGCAGTGTGGTTCTCCTTGTGATATCCACACTTGCTGCTCAGCAGCATGAGCTAAAATTTGAGCATCTCTACAATTTTGTCTTTCTATATAAGCTCCAGCTTTAGCACAGACTAAAAGCTGTGAGAACCAATTCCCCCAGAAACTTGAGCATAGGGTCCAGACTGGCACTGCCCAGCCAAATGGACACTTGTGCTTCCAGATGCCAGGACAAGGCTCTCAGCCTCAATCATTATAACCTCAGACCCCCTCGGGTGGAGAAACACCACAAAATTTACCTTTGAGTGGATATTCCAGGAAGTTTCTCCTTCAGGACAGGGCGGGTGTAGCCACTGCCTCACCCCAGGCTTTCAGCAGCAGGGTGTGCAGCACTTACTGTCACCAACGCAGGATTAAATGTTCTCTCATTTGCAGCTCTGGTCCTGTCTGCACAGCCACTCCCCGCTCACTGGAATCAAACATCTCTCCATAGAGACATCTCTCACTGGAGATAGGGGATGAAATCCATTAGCTCTGAAGAGCATCCCAGCCACTGGTGACCGCAGGCAGACAGGAGGCCAGCAGACAGACCCAAGGGGAGGCATGGAGAAAGGCAGCTTCCAGCTCCTAAGCACAGCACCGGCTGCTTCCCTGCACAGACCTGTGCCCCCACCCATCACTAGCTTGCAGAACAGGGTCTGATGATGTCTTCTCTTGTGCAGGCAGAAGACCCGGAGCAAGCAAGACACCGTGGGGTGAAGAAGGCTAAGTCTGGGAGGGAGTGAGTGTCCTTCAAAGTCCAGCCCTGGCTGCTGCAGGACAGGAGACATTTTGCTCAGAGTTCTCTTCTCTGTAGAGGCCCTTTAGCCCCTTAGGGAGCTCAGATGCTCCCAAGAGCAATGCAAGTCCTTGGGTTGTGTAATGTCAATGGCAGCATGCAGTTTCAGAGGGGTGACATCTCCTCTACGGTGCATGGGAAGATAACAAATTGCACAGCCAATGACAACTCATTTATTGCCCCACAAACATGAGCTCTTGCTGCAGGGCCAAGCAGCCTTGCTTCATCTTGGCAAAGGTGTCGCATTTAAAGAGCCCTCTGCTCCCTAGTGACGCTCGTGTTATCATCTTCACCTCTGTGTGCACAATAACAAACCTCCTAGAAATAGCAAACAGCTACGAAAATTGTCTCTGCTCTACACTGGAAACAGCTGAGCTTTGCCCATCACTAGTACTGGGCCCACTACTGTATGACCCGCAGAGCTGGATGTTTCTCCCCTATGTAATTTGGGCAAGGAGAAAAGGCAGCCTCGAGTGGGGCCCAGGGGCTTGCTGTGTTCCCACCCTCTCCATCCCCAAAGCAGCAGCACAGTGCCAGAACATGCTGCTGCTGTTGGCAGATTGCTGCGCTCCCCAGAGCAAAGGGAGAAAGCAAGGGAGGAAGGCAGCCAGCAAAGCCTCTCCCTTACATAAGGCTGAGAGTCCCATGGATATGCTTCCCAGAACATGCTGGTGGGGCTGAAGCTGACCAGCCCTTTGAGTTTTCTTTCTGAAAACTCAAACATGCATTGCAGGCATTAAGATGCCATCACCTGGAGCCCAATCTGTACGCTCTGCTCACAGCTAGTTTGTGACAGGCAGAACAAACAGGCAAAGTGCTCTCCCTTCAGTGACGCTTGCTGCCAAACCTTTCACAAAAGCTGCTTTTTTTTTTTTCCCTCCTCCCTTATAGCTTTAACTCCCTGCTTTAACTAAAGCTGTGAAATCCAAAAAGGGGAAAACAAGCAAACAGCTGGTTTGGAAAGCAAGAGCAAAAAGGGATTTATTCCAGGCAGTGGATATTGCATCATAGGAGCTAAAGGAATATTTTTAGTGCCTCTTGGACAATATCAGAGTTTTAGGGCCTGAGGGGCTAGGCAGTATTTGCAGGCACATAATGTTTCCTTTACACTTGGCACCCACATGGACCGTTTTTCTTGGAGATTTGCAAGCACTTTGCAAGCATACATTAATTAACCCACCGGCAATGAGATTTTCCTTTCCCTGTAATGTGCCTGTGCTAGGGACAGAGTAAACTGAGGCATGGCAAGGCCATCAGCCTGCAGCAGAGCTGAGGCCAGGGAGCTGCATGTCATCCAGCTCTTCTTTCCATTGCAAAACCACCCTTCCCTTTGTGAGCATGACCCACACTGACTGTGTTTCCCTCCATTGGATGCTGCCTGCCCCATTCCAGTGGAAGGCATGGGCAGGTCAGCTCATAGAGCCTCTGCGCTGGCCCTTGGTGCCACAGAGCAGAGAAACAGCCAGTATGTCTGAAAAGCAGAGCAGGCAGGCAGGAGTAGAATAGCAAACAGATTAGCAGCTGCATGTGCCTGCATGTATGACAAGGCAGCTGTACAGGGAAAGGGGGAAAGGGGAAAATCAGTCACATGAACGGAAACATAGAAAATGCTGAACCTCTGTCAAGTGCCAGCAGGTTATGAATCTATTAGCTAATGGGGGCAAAAAAACCCTGCTACAGGCTCCTGAGAATCAAACTATAACAAGACTGCAGTGATCACAGATGCTTTGATAGCCAACAAAGCATCTCAGCCTGTTGCTGAGGTCAGCAAATGGCTCAGGGACTGATCATTTTAGTTTTGCTATTCCCTTGCTGGTCCTGGCTGACCCTGGAACAGGATCCTGGCTGCAGAACTGCTGGCAGACCCTTTTTGGGGTAGGAGATCTCCAGTCATTGCTTGCAGGACTCCTGATGGTGATCTCTGGGCTCTTGGTGCCCTGCCTTGTATTTTGGGATGAGGTGGTAGGACAGAGGTCATGCTCACCTGATGGCCTGAGTCTTGTTGGGATGAGGTGGGGAAGGAGTGGGCTGTGATACCCTCCTGAATTATGCTTGTGGCACAGAGATCCAGCTGGCATATCACCGCTTACAGGGAGCCATGCAGACCTCCAGCATCCTGTTGTCCCTCTGCTTCCTTGCACGACTTGACCTGCAGGGATAAAGTCAGGCAGCTGCCTGTGACTTCTTCACTAGTATGCTGAGGGTAGCAGGACCTGGCTGCCAGCAGCAGAGCAGCCCTGGGTGAAACCCTGCAAGGAAAGGCAAGGGAGACAGAGGCCCTTGCTGCCAATCACCACCTCCCCATGCTAAGCATTACCCTTTGCTGGTAGCACTGGGATGCAATATGGTGACACAACTACCCCCAAAGCACTCACAGCCCCGGTGAGCAAACGGTCTGCAGACATGACAAGGAAGGGCCTCCACACGCCTCCAGCCCAGTGGCAGGGCCATGGGTGTTTTCCAGCTGGGCAAACAGGAACAAATCCCATTGTCTGCTGATTGGTCACAGCTCAGCAAGGGGCCCGTGGTGCCCACAGGGCTCCTGGGACCTGGCATGGACATTGGGGTCCAGTCAAGCTCCAGCCCCATCTCAGGCTGCTGGAGGTGGGGGCAGCCTGCCCCAGTGGAACAGCAGCATCTCTGGGACACAGGACATCTCCCTGCTGTCAGGCTGGAGGACACAAGCCCCTCTGCCCAAGCCACTTCTGAGGGTCTCTCATTCTCACCATCTCCTGGGCACAATCCTTCCAGGAGCAATCCCTCCCTCTTCCATTCCCATCCCCATCCCCATCCCTCTGCCTCCCTCCCTGCACTGCTGCTGCCCTCTCCTGAGCTCCAGCTGCCCATTTGCTTTCTTCTGCAAGCATTAAGAGAGTAAATACTGGCTAATGGTACCAATTAGCAGCTGAGCTGCTGGGTTCTAGTTACTGAGTGACAGCTGTGCCGCCAGGGCCAAGGGTGAAATGTTACCTCACTGCAGGCAGTCTCCACTGCCAGGGCCCAAGCTGAGACTTGGATAAACTCAAGACACACAGTTCAGGCTCCCACTTGTACCAGAGGAAACAGGGTTAACCCCTGGGTCAGCAGCAGGCAGGAGCACCCTGTGGCATTCAGGGCACAGACCACTCCAAGCACCCTGTCATGGTGTCACTCCAGGTCTCCTTGGCTGAGGATGGAGCTGGTGCTGGCAGAGGGAGCCACTCTATAGCCAAGGTCATCTGGCCCATTGAAGCAGTGCCGGGGGCATATCCTCCTTAACTGGCAGCACCAGTCTCCCACGATGGAGCACAGTCATTAAGAAGTTGGCGGGCACTCAGCCACAATTGTAAAACACTGCAGGGGAGCTGTGGGCTGCTGGGAACCAGGGAACCTGGAGAGAGGAAGAGGGGTGGCAGCTGCTGTGTGGTCCCGTTCCCCCCTTGATAAAGTCCATCCACAGCCCAGTGGAGCAAGGTACCCAGTGACTCCCAGAGTCTCCAAGAACCATCCACAAGGCAGAAGGTGGCTTTCTGAAGCAATGGCTCCCCATCAGCCTTCCTGGAGCACCTTGGTGGCAGCAGACAGCCATGCTCCAGCTCTCTGGGAATGCTGCTGCAGCCAGAGTCTGCCCACCCTGCATGGTAGGGCAGAGCCCAGGTCCCTACCTATTCTCCCAGCCAGCCTGCTCCCTGGGCACTGTGGTCACTGGCACCACGGGGACCATGGCACATCGCCACTTGCAGAGACGAGGGCTCTAAACACAGGTCCAGGAACTCTCAAAGCCATGCCAGCCCTGATCTGTGCCTGGCCCAACATTTGCTGGCTGACGTGGAGGAATTCCACTCTGTGCAAATGTCTGGCAAGGCTGACTAAATCCTGTCTGGAGACTAAGTCCATCCAGTCATGCTTTCCCCTTTGGGCAAATCAGCAGCGGAGCTGCGGCTGAATGCTCCTAAACATCCCCCAGGGAGGTCTCCAGGACGGCCCTTTCCCACAGCTTCCAACAGTACCAGCCGTTCATCATTTCTTCTCCTTGCCAGTCATGCTTCCGCAGGTTCCCAAGCTGAAACGAGGCCCCCCAGGCCACCCAGTGGAGCACAAACGTGGGACATCAAAAGAAGGGCAGGCCAAACACATGACCAGCAGCCCGGCTGCCAGGGTACCACTGGGGCTGCCTTCTCCCCCTTCCTCAGCCCCTCTGCAAAGCTGAGTGTCCACCGGTGGGCAGAGGATGCTCTAACACGGATCAGGGAGGAGGGAACCCTCGGGGGTCCCGCACCCCTCACACGAGGGGCTGGGGTACGCGGCTGGGAGCCTGCAGTGCCCCACGGCCATGCTGCCGGGCCGGGGGAGCGCGGCAGAGTTTGCCTGTCCCTGGGGGAGGCGCTGGCCCCCGGCCCCGTGCCGCCGCCACGCCGCGGGCTCCGGGGCCGCCCCGCTCGGCCGGAGCCCCGCACGCAGCGGCGGGCGCGGCCGGCGCTGCCCCCTGGCGGGCCCGGAGCACGGGCGGCGCAGGGCGGGGAGTCAGCCGGGCACGGGCGGGAGCGGCTCCGCGGAGTGCGGGAGCCAGGCTGGGCAGCAGCGTGCGGGGTGCGCAGCGGTGGCGAGCTGGTGGCTGGTGGGAGAGGGTCTGGCATTCCAGGGTGGGGAGGCATCCCAAGCCACCCCTCGGGCATAGGGAAGCGTAGGCACGGCCCCGAGCGCTGGGGTCACCGTGAGGATGAGGAGGCGGTGAGCGGCAGCAAGGAGATGGGGGAACAAACGGCACTGGGAGCCAAGTGCACAAAGTGGGACAGGGCACCCCGAAGTGCGGGCTTGTTGTGTGTGCTGTGCTAACCTGTAGAGGGACTGGGATGAGTGGGAGCTGGGAAATCTGGGAGTAAGCAGGGAAGTCTGAGGGCAGAAGCAGGGGCTTTTTGTTTGAAGGTGGTTTAAAGAAACAGAGTTTGTCTATAGATAACACACTGGGCAAAAGGACAGGGATAGTGTTAGGAAGCTGATTTCAGGGTCAGGATGGATGACAGTCACCCTGAACACAGTAGCTGTCCTGCAGGGCTGTGCTTGCTGCTCAGCTGCTGGCCACAGAGGAAGGAGTCCTGGCTGGTCCCCTGAGAACCCCAAGTTCCACAGGAATGGGATGGGAAAAGGCTTGAAGTGCACCTCCTCAGCATAGGTTACTTCTCAAAAGGCAGCTTGCCTGCTTCTCTCCTTGGTCCTGGGCTGTGAGGCATCCAGGAGCACCCTTGGGCCAGAGACCCAGTGCCTCAGGGACAAGAGGGGATCCTGGCACTACCCTTCCAGGGACTTGGGGCCTCAGGCTTTATTCTGTACATCCATACTCAGCTGACAGGGACTCAGTCTCCAGGGAAACAGCCTGCTCTTCTAACACTGCTGCCCAGACCCAGTAAATCTCTTTTCTGGCAAGCCAGATGACAAAAGTCAGCCTGGATAACAGTGGTGGCTGGCTTCCCACAAAGATCCCTCTTCTGAGGAGGAGCTGCCAGACATCACCAACCCCCTGTCTCTCTCCACTCTCCACAAAGGATCTGCCATCTCCAGAGGATGCAAGCAAGTGGGAAAGTCTCACCTGACTTTTGCTAGGGCTGTGTTCTGGGATGATAGAGTTGGGAAGATTCGCAGCAGAGCTGAGCTGCTATGCAGTGCCCAGCAGTGCTGCTGCTGGCTGAGCTTTGCATCTTCAGTCATGGAGGTACTGGGTTCCCTGTGAAAAAGCAGGCTTCTCAAGAAGGAAAAGAGCTCCACAAACCCCTAGCTTTCTGGAGAGCCCTGGAGGGTCTTGTTGCTGGCAGTAGCTCAGGACAGGGGTGTCTACTCTGATGGAGGACAGGCTTCTCTGCCACTGCTGCCTGGTCTCTCCCATCCTACTGGTCCCAGTGACATCCAGCTTGCCTTCAGGGATGCTCTGGGCATTCCTGGCAGGGAACAGCAGGACTTCTTTTACGTCTGTGCATAAAACAGGGCAGCACAGCTGGTGCTCCTCCACCACATCCTCCATTACCTTCCCTGCACAAGCCTGAGGACCGTTAACAAATTTCACTATCTCTTACCACCCAGCTGTGCCAGCTTCTCTCACATCCTATAATTTCTGATCCATTTCAGCCCCTAAAGCACTTGCTCACTCCTTTCCCAGGACAGCACCAGGCACTGAAGAGATAAGGACAAAAAGCAGCAGTGGGGACCCTGTTTTCTAACGTCCTGCACTAAGACCTTTACTGGGGCAGCAGAGCAGTGCCCTGACCTTGAGAGGCACCACTGATTTGGACAGATTTGAGTCAAGGGCCATGCTACAAACCCTGCTCTGTCTGTAGCTTCACCTCTCTTCTGCCTGCACGCGAGGTCAGGCTCCTGCAAACAAGCCTTGGGCCATGCCTTGGACTCAGAATGCAGCCAGGACCTCTGTGCTGGGCCAAATCACAACGAGGGCAGCCAGGGAATGGTGCCTGGGAGAAAGGACCTGCATGGAGAATGGTGCAAGGGGGAGGGCAAGCTCCCAGCGGTCAGCCTACAAATAGAAAGGGTCATGGGAGAGTGCCCAGCTACTGGGACAAAGGGCCTGCAAGAGGTGAATGGGGTTGTAGTTGTTCTGGCAGGGAGGTGAACGGTGGCAGAGGCCCAGGAACCCCAAGAACGGGGAGGGCTCCCTGGAGGTGTTTCCTGTGGTGCAGGCAGCCCCGAGACCATACAGGCATACAGGAACATGCCACTGGTGGGGCAGGGAGGGAGCCCGCACTCAGAGAAGGCTGGGACTGACACAGGAAGGTGACGAGGACAGTAAGTGGTAGCCGCGTCAGCGGTCGGGTGGCATCTCCACGGGCAGGGTAACCAAACGCCGTCCCCAGCTGGCTGTTTCGGGGGGTGGCGAAAGGGGAAGCGTTTCTTGCCCCGTGGTACTCTGTTCCCGGGGCCGGCTCCCTGGCCCCGCGGCGGTCCTGTAGAGGAAGGGGAAGGGAAGGCAGCAGCACCCAGCCGCGGCAGGAGCGGGGCCGAGCGCGCAGGGTGGGAGCCCCAGTCGGACAGCCGGCCGCCCCCGCAGCCCCGGCCGCTCCGCACGGCCGCGGAACGGCTGCCGGGGCTTCCCCCAGCGGTGCCGCCGCCGCTGCCGGGGTCCCCGCTCCGCCCCAGCACCCACACACACCCGAGGCAGCCGGGGCACCGCCGCGTTGCTTACACGTTTCCCCGGGGGCTGCGGCTCCTTCCCGCGGCGCCGCCGCCTGCAGGATACGGTCCCGTCCCGCAGCGCCCGGTGCCAGCAGTGCCGGCCGCGGCAGGCCGGGTCCTAGCGCTTCCCGCCGCGCCAAGGGCACGGCGCCACCGAGCTGGGACAGCCCTCGGCTCCGCGGCCGCCGGACAGCAGCCCGCTGCCGCCACCTCTCGCACCCCGCTTTGACCCCGCGACTCCCCAGCTCCATCGGCCGCACCTGAGAGCGGGGAGGGTGCTGGGGTCGCCCCGCTACCGCAGCTCCGGCACAGGAATGTCCAATGCTCTGGCTTTTCCCCAGTGTCTCCTCTCTTCCTGGAACAGACGGCTGGCCCTACTACCCCGGGAGGGGGGCATAGCCGTGCTGTCCTTTTGCCTAGGCAAGGAGGGCAGGGTGCCGGCAGGCAGCCCCTCCACTGCTCCTCCAGCTGCTCCCCGCTTTCACATTCCCCTGGGCCGGGGTCAGGCTCCGAGACCTGCTTGGGGCCCCTCAGTGTGCGATAGCCCCAGAGCTCAGCATAGGCTCCCGGCTGCAGGGTGACCTTGAACAGGACTGCCGAGCCGCCAAAATAGGTGACAAGACCTTGGCTCAGTGGAGGAGGCTGGAACCAGACCCTCTCCTTAGTGCCTGGCAGAACAAAGCACAGCAGCGACAGTGCTTACTCTGGTCACCTCCCTGCTTGCAGCCTGCCCTTACCTTGATAGCTCAGCTCTTCTGGCGCTGGATGATGCTGCCTGCAGACTCCTCACTGCCCGGTACCAAGAGGACTGGGATTTCCCACGGCAGCAGGACCAGGCTGCAAAGGCTCCGCCACCCTACAGGCTCTGCAGCCGGAGTGGGTTTTAGAGCCCTGGCACTGGCTGGGGCTGGCTGAGCATGGCTTCCGCTGGCTCAGCAGGTGGAGGCTGCGTGCACGGGCAGATTAGTGGCGGGGCAGGGAGGGAGGAATTGGCTTCTGCCATAGGAACTACAGACGGGATTCGTCAGCGGGTTGCCGTGGGGCCAAGTGCCAGCACAGGGGAGGAGGGGAGGCTCTGGGTGGGCAACCACCTCAGGGGGACAATGAAGCCTGCACAACGGGGGTACCGAAAATGGTGCTGCAGGTGCCAGCATTGTCCCTGGGATGGTGTTATCTCTCGAGTGGCACGTGTCACCCCGTGCTCCTGTGCTGGACTTGGGCCATGATGGGACACTTGTTGAGCTCCTGCCCCATCATGGGTCAGCATCAAGCCCTAGGACTAGCAGGGGGGCCCTTAGTAAAGCCCCGTGCACCCACTGCCCCTCTGCCGGGCCCCGCAGCTGCTCAGGAATGAATTGGCAGCAGCCCACCAGCTGCTCTCCTGGTATGTGCAGCCGGAGCCAGAATGCTGTACCTTGACCTCCTCACTGGTCTGGACAAGCCTGGCCCCTGCCCAGGGCATCTCCCCTCCCAGCCTTACTATCCTGCTTGTCTTTTCCCATTAAGGAAGTGCAGGCAGCTGAGCTTTGGTGCTGGAGGAAAACAGGTATCAGAGCCAAGAGTGATAGAGCCAAGTGGAGGGTGGTAAGACACAGGGGAAGCTCAGAAAGCACACCCCCGCCCACACCGGGGCATTCCCCACCCCTTGCTGGGAACCTGGAGAAAGTCCATCTGCTGGTGACCCTGGTGTCCCCACCTCCACCTCACTGCCTGTCTCCAGCCCCAGGAATACTGCAGGAGGGAGATGGGGTGGCAGGAGAATTTCTGTTCTCCCAGCCCTTACTGCAGAGCTGGGCTGCAGCCAACACTTCTATTTTAAGCCCCACAATGTGTTTGAGGAGGCAAGTGGTGTGCACAGTTGAGCCTCACGGCTTGACAGGGAGAGGCCCTGCTACCTAAGTCCCTGGAAACTTCCCCTTCTTCCTCTAGGGCTGGTACAGACTCTGGACAGGTTGGATCAGCTGCTTTTTCCCCCTTCCCAGTACAAGTGGCAATTGGGGCAGTTGAAACTGGCATGGTCTGGTGAAGTTACTGCAAAAATATCTGGGCTGTAGGAATGGGGGGGGGTCTATCCACACACCACTACCCCCATCTGTGTCAGGCCGCATTCACCTGCTGTGACCTAGGCTGGCAGCCATCCTGGGAGAGAACGAGGCTGGGCAGGCTTGGCAGGGCTGTACAGGCAGGAGTATTTACTCTGTAGGTAGTGACTTCCTTGCTAAGCTCCCAGGGCAGGGAAAAGGGGCCCAGATAGCCTGTGGGATTAGCTGGGCTGAGTGCAGGCAGAGAGGAAGCATGGGACAAAGCATCCTTGTGAAGCATCCTTGAAAGGCACCAAACAGCTTGAGCTTCCCCCCACAAGCAGGACTGAACCTCACTGCAGGGCCCTCCTCATCTGAAGCTCCCCTTACTCCTTAGCAAGGACCACCTTGCAGAGAGCTCCTTTCCTTCTGTGCTGATGGATGCTGCTGGACAAAAAAGCTCCCACACTGTCTATTTATCTTTTAATAAAAACCATCATCCACACCTTCTGCTTGTGCTGTGTGTCATTAGGATGCCTGGGGAGCCAGCAGCACCCAGGGAGAGCACTGGGCAGGAGGGGTGCTCAGCACCAGGCTGAGGCTGGGGGCTGCAGTGCCTGGGGCACAGGGCAGACCTGGGGCTGGCTGAAGCAGAGCCACTTGGCACAGCCTCTTGCCCCTGGGGAGGCAGTAAGCCATGAACTGGTGCTGGGAGTAGAGATCAAGCCAGAATGGCCCAAGAGGAGGATAAGAGGCAGGTTAGGGCATTTTCTCCATTTGTCTGGGGCTCACTCTTTTTTCCCAAAGAACTTCTTGAAGACAGATTTGTTCTTGGTGCGAGGGGGGCTAGTGGTCTTCTCCCCTCGTGTGTCCCGAGGGCTCCCTGTTTGGGCCACGAAGGAGTGACAGCGTGCCCGGGGCATGGCTGACACCTGCTCCCCTATGTACAGTGTGACGGAGTAACTGCTCCCGGCCTCCACCGGCTCCTTGGGCACTGCCAGCGGGGTGATCTTCTGGTAGGTGGCTGCAAGAAGGAGCAGTCAGTGGAAGGGGCAGGGTGCCAGCAGGCCCTGGCAGCCCTCTAGAGCCCTCCCCAAATGGGGGCTACACACAAGAGCACAGGTATGTGGAACCAGGTGCGTGCTGGAGTAGCATCGCATCTGTCCTTGGCTGTCTGCGGGGACAGAGGCAGTGGTGCCACCTCCTGGCGGTGACAGCAAAATCAGGACTGTACCTGAGGTGAAGGAGTAGGACCTCCTCTTGTTGGCCACCAGCCCATAGTCATCCTCTGGGCAGATGTTATCCCACAGCCCGGGGGACGCCCTGGATGACCACTGCTGCTCCTTGTGCCCAGTCCCCTGAGCATTCTCTGAAGCAGAATGGAGACATGTCACAAGGCAAGGCAATCACAGGGCACCCCTGTGTCAGCCCCGAAGAGGGAAATGTATGACTATCTCAGGATCCCAGGAAGTGAAGAAAATGTTCCTTTCCTCACATCCCAAGCTGTGGGACTCCTAGCCCAGATACGACCAAGTTCAAGACTGACTGACAGCCTTCAGCCTCCCTCAGCTGTCTCCCATGCACCTCTCTGGGCTGGGGAGAGAAGCTGGGGGACAGTGGCAACCCAGCCAGACAGGAAAGTCACCTGCTGCTGTCACAGTCCCATCGACTGGGCCATCCTGGCTGCCCAGAGGCCGCTGCAATAGTGGGCTTGCGCAGGGTAACCCCACAATCTCCTGGCTCTTGGTGGTTGTGACCTGATGATGTCCCTGGAGGTGGGAGGTCCCAGGGCTGGAGACCTTGCTGAAACTGAAAGCAGCAGAGATTTAGCAAACCAGACTGGCCCCCCAATGTCCTGCTGGAGCAGCAAGCTCTGAGAAATGTGGGATAGAGTTATAAGAAGACCCAGCTGGTCAGCTCCTGGCTACTCACCTGCCAGTACCACCAGTGCTCTTGACACGCTGTGGTGCTGCCTGGAAGTAATCCACTTCGGGGAAACCTGGGGCACAGCAAACATCCTGCTGGATGCTGGCAGTGCACAGGACTGTCACACAGAGCCAGTCCCTGATCCCACTGCCCATACTGCATGGCTGGCTCCTCCAACCTCCTGCTGTAGTACCTGCTCTTGGTCCTGACAACCAGCCTAGGATTTCATAGCAGCGCTTGAACTCCTCAGTTATGGGTACAGCAACAGGAAGACTTCAGTACTACAGGTCTCCTTGCCTCAAGGGCAAGCAAGGCAGTTCCAAGCCCAGCGGATATGGAGGAAGACCAAGGCACAATTATAATTTTCCTGACATGGGATTTTTGCTGCTGAGGCACCGCTGACGTCAGTTGTGCTATTTCTGATTTATAGCTGTGTATGTGGTGTGAAAACAAAGCCTCCAAATTCTGCCTGGCAGAGAACTGCTGTTCCCAAGGCAAGCTAGGAGGATGCATAAATCAGAGTAAAATGCTGTGCTGCTTCTCTTCTGACCCCCCATGTATCAAAGGGCTCAGTGGGGGCTGAACAAATATGGTAACTACATAGAGCTGGGCCCCTGCTCTGCCTGCAAGGGCTGCTCACCTGAGTTTTGCTGCAGCTTTGAGACCCATTCGTTCATGAGGGGCTGGGTGGGGGCCCTCAGGAGGTATTCAGAGCCATCCTGCAGCCTGCAGGGAGAGGGGAAGAACAATGTAGGGTGCAGATACAACAGCCCCCACCAGACCAGAAAAGAAGCAGGTGAGAAAGAAGGAAGGAAATCCTCATCTAAGCAGTGTGCTGGTCCTCCCTGGGGATGTTGGTATGTGTCTGTCCCAGCAGGGACACACTTGGGAGGACTGTGGTTACTGCCCTGGATGGGGGACTCACTGAAGCCTGAAGCAGTTGGTCTTCTTGGTGTATTCAGCATCTGGGGTGCAGACTGCCCCGGAGAGATTCAGGGGAAGTGCCACCACGGAGCTCTACAGCACAAGGAAAAGCAAGGACAACAGCAGGATTGGACAGCTCTGCCTTCCCTGGCCATGGGGCCCAGAGCTATCACCCTGCTGCCAGCCCCCTCCTATGTCACCCCAATGTCCCCCACCGCACCTTGAGGCTGTCCCTGCGGTCCTGGTAGAAGCACAGTGTCTGCCTCATCAGCACAGCGTGAAAGAGGCCCCAGGCCCGGCAGCTGGCCTGCGGGACACAAGCAAGACACAGCTGTGATGCCAACAGCTTTGGAAGAAGACAGATGGTCTCATGCCACTCAAAATGCGGCCCAGCCTCTCTGAGGCTCTGCCCTTCCAGAATGGCCAGCAGCATTGCTGTGGTAGTTCCAGGAACATCCCTGGCTGTCATGTCCCAGCACCCCTATCCCAAAAGGAGCCCCACAGCCATGTCTGTACCTTTCTCCCTCCTGCCTGCAATACGTGCTTCCTTTCCAGCGTCCCCTCCATCATCTGAAATTCCATTTTAGCAGGCAGGACCTGCAAGGGCACAGAGGGTAAGCAAAAACTTCTCTGGGGCTAGTGGTGCCAGCTCAGCCTCCATGCATATGAGGTCTATATGACCCATCCCTGGTGAGCAATGCCAAAGTGGGAGTGGGATGACAATGAAGAACAACTTTTTCACCTGGGCAGGAGCTGGGCTATGCGTCAGCTTTAGGGGTGAAGTGCCACTTTGCTGAAGCTAGGGGTTGGTAGTGGGTATGTATGCTGCAGGGACTGCAAATACCACACCTAGCCCTTCCCCACCAGCTGAAGAAAAGGGGCCACTGGAGTCAAGGAGTCCCCAGATACAGGTTATGTTTGCTGGAGTGGATAACCCAGCTGCTGCCTTGGCCTTGGCTGTTCTCCAGCCCCTTATCTGACCCTGAAGGAGAGTCCCTGGCCTGTGGATCTTACCTTGCTGCTCTCTCTCTCCTCTTGCTGATGCCTCCGCTGATCCCAGGTGCTGGAGGCATCCAAGGGGGCTACCGACACCAGCTCCTCCAAGTAGGGGGAAACCCTGAGCCCATTGGGACTGCCACTGCCACTGTGCACCACCCTGGGGCTCTTCTCTCCTGACGGGCTGTGGAGCAGCTGGGCAGCGGTGGGAAGGGTGAATTTGGCTACTAGCACATTGTTGGCTGATGACAGGATGAGGGGCCCGCCAGTAGTGGCACTGGGGCTGTGCAAGCTGCCTGCCCTGCTGCCTGTCCGGTGGCTGGCACAGCTGTCTCCTGGTGAGCTCTGTGCCTGTTGTTCGTGTGCTCCATCCCAGATGGCTTGCAGCTCCTCCTCCTCTTCCTCAAACTGCCTGTGGGCAGGGTGGCAAACTTCCTCAGTTACCCGTGCAGGGCTCTGGGGATGTGGAGACCCCAGTGCCCACTCAAAGACAGAGAGCTGGCTGGGGGCGGCAGGGGAAGCTGGGGACCCTCTGGGCTGGTTGCTGCTGTCTGGCTGCTGTGTGCAGGCAGGGCTGGGGATGGCTCCAGCCCTGCCTGGGGTGCTGGCAGGGGATGATCCAAGCTCTAGCCAAGCAGCTCTGAGATGCCTGGCCCTGCCAGTGGCAGTGGGGCTGTCATCCTGGCCATCCCCCATGCCAACATGGGATGGCTGGCTCGACCTCAAGTCCAGAAGGTCTTTACTGGTGCTGCTGGGGTGTTGCAGGTTCCAGTGCTCCTTCCCAGCACAGTGTGCTCTTTGTTGGCTGTAGCTTGGGTTGAAGCTCACCTCCTTGAACCATGTTTCTTGCTTGCTCTTGGGTGACATCCCCGGCCTCTTGCTGGGCCCCCAGGGATCGTTCCCATCTTCCTGCCATCTAACTCCATGTGTGCCTGTGGGCTTCCAAGGCCTCACCCCTTCATCCTGCCTCTGCTCCTGCCCCTCTGCCTCCTGCTGGCGTGCCGCAGCCCCTTGGTGGCACCCCAAGACCACTGCATCCCGTGGCAGCTCCAGGCTGAGCACAGAGCCCAGGGAAACACGGGGGCATGTGATTTTTGGGTTAGGGAGGCAGGGATTCTGAGGGGCTGCCCCGCACTCGGCATCGATGTCCTGCACCAGCGGGTTCCTGACATAGAGGAGCAGCTCCCCAAGCTGAGGTCCAGCAGCAGCTGCCCCTGACCCCCCCTTCCTCCAACCACACTTGTGAGGCCAGGTGTTGCTGGGGCCACAGCATTTCTCAGGCGTGGGCTGCAGGGAGCTGTCACCCATGATGCCCCGGAGAGTCAGCAGCTGCGCCTGCTCTGCCCTGGCCTGCTCCCGCCGCTGCAGGCTGTTGAAGAGACAGCCAGCCCCTGCCTTGGGCAGGGTGTGGGACACAGCCGGCATGCCGCCGCTGGATGCTGGAGGGCGGCGGACAACAGCGGGCAGCCGCTTTGCGCTGCAGGTTTTCCTGGCCTCCACCTGCACCTGAGGAAACAGAGGAGGGAGGTGTGATCCCCATCGCTGGAGCTTCCGCCACCCTGTGCCCACTGTTCCCTTTCCATGCTGCATCTGGGAAAGCAGGGAGCTGCAAGGGCAGGCAGACAAAAACACTCACCAGCAGCACATGCAGTGCTGGGAATGACAGAGCTTCGCCTCAGTTCCCTGAGGGCTGCTCCCACACTGGTGCAGGCAGGGCAGAAGCAGACAAGGAGGGTAGAGGCAGACAAGGGAATCTTCCCATGATGGAGTCCCCCAGGTGTGGTACAGCTGGGGCTGACTGCTATACAGCTTTTCCCTGGCACTGCTGACCTCCAAGCCATCACTTTTGGGTGGCTACTGAGACAGCAGTCACTGCTGTCCATGCCTGCCAGCCCTGTATGCTCCAGGCAGTAGAGCAATGAATGTGAGAGCAGGGACTGAGTGCAGACCCTGCCCCTCCTGTTCCTTGCAGACCCTCTCCTGGGCTTGCAGACAGCTGCAAGAGTCTGCAGGAGCTGGAGTAGTGTTCTCCTGTATCCATTAGGCCGGATGGCACCCATTACCAAAACCCTCCTAGCAGCCCAGCAGCCCCTCACCCTACCTCAACACCCTCCAGCCTCTCTGTCCTGCCCTTTCCTTTGGCTACTGAGCCTGGCTGCCCTTGGGGCTCCTCACACACAGACTTTTTTGCACAGGCTCTGGAGCAACAAAGAGATGTGAGCCCCTACAAATTCCCAAACTCAGAGATATAAGCCAACCATCCTGGAGTGAGATCCCCACCCCAGCAAAATGTGCCCCTCACACAGCCCCAGCCACCTTTGTCCCCTTCAGCTGGCTACAAAAGGAACTGCTGCTGCTCCCCAGCAATGGAGCAGGGAGGCTCTCCCACTGGCCACCAGGTAGCCATATCTCCCATGGCCACCAAAACTACTTGAATGGGGGGCCAAACTGCAGCAAGCCCTGCCTGAGTCCCCTCCTCCCACGTCCCAGCACCCACACTCTGGACCCACATCCCCAGCAGGGTTTTCCCTCTCCCAATGAACCACTGCCACCAGGGCACCGTGGCATGGCCGGGAGGGTTGGTGGCAGGCAGGTTCACACCATGCAGCCACTCTGCCCAGCATGCAGCCTCCCCCAGGATGTTACCTCTTCCACCAGCTGGTGACGTGGCTGGTGGGGTGGCTTTCTTTTTTGCTTTAAGCTATCCCAAGTGTTTCCTAAAAGCCCTTGGCAACGCTTCCAAAAGGTTTTACAGCCTGAGTGTATAGTGGTGGGGAGCTGAGCAAGGGGAGAGAAAGAGACACACAGAGAGGATGGAGTGGGCAAGGAGCTAGGAGCTGCTGCAGGAGAGCACAGGCAAAGTGGGTGGCACAAGCCGGTCTCAGCCCTAAGGCATCACGCAGCATCAGCACGGCCGAAGGTCCCTCTTCAGAGACCCACAGAGTCCCAGCGGCTCACTAAGAAATGGCCTAGAGGGGTTTCAGCTTGGGGATTACCCCACAGCCCTTGCAGCCTCCCAGTCTGCTTGTGGCACAGCTCCAGAGAGCTGCTCTGGCTGTGTGGCTGCTGCCCATGGCTCTGCCAAAGCTGCCCACCATCTCCCGTACCGTTGGCAGTGCCTCCTCCCATGGCTGCTTGCTGCTGGCCAGCAGCTGTGCCTTCTTCTTCTCGCCCTTCTTGCCAATGCTGAGGATGAGGCTGACTGTCCCCCCGAGACCACAGGGGCCCCGTGGTGGCAGCAGCAGCGTGGAAGTCTCAGCAGGATCCCAGGTGGCAGCCTGCTGGGATTCCGCATCATGGGGTGTTTTGCTGCTGGGCTCCCCCCAGCTCTGCTCCACTCCTGATGGGGCATCTGAGAGGGGTGATGTGGGTGGGGAGATGGCTGTTTTCTCTGGAAGCTTTGGCTCTAATCTTTGCACAGGTTCGAGGAGGGAGGAGGGCATGAACTTCACTGGGCTGTGGATGCTTTCCAGGTGGGGTGGAACATGTGAGGCATGCTGCTCCTGGGGAGCAAGACAAGAGAGGGAACATGAAGGAAGGGCTGTTGGAGCCAGGCATTTTCTCAGGATAGCCTTCCCTTTGCCCTGCCTGAACCCCAGAGACTCTCACAGGTATTGGCACACATCCCTCCCCACCTTCTGCACCACGCACTCCATCCAGTGCCTCTGCTACCCTCAGCCTCAAGGCTGGTCATTCTCTCTGAGTCTCAGCATGTCTGGGTACTCACTTGACCAGTGGGGGATGTGCTTGAGAGGTTCTCCAGCTCCCTCTTGTCCTCCTGTCTGCTCCCCAGATCTTGCTGCTGATGCCTCTGTGCTCGCCACCGCACCAGCACCCAGCCCAGCATGCTCTGCAGCTCTTCCAAGCGCTCCTTTATCTGATGGAGGAGAAATGCTGGGCAGCCTGCAAGGACTCCTGGCCCAGGGACACTGGCCCTACCAGGATATCTCACAACAGAGCAGTTAGGAGGTTTTTGTGAGTGGGATACAGTCACAGCCACATCAACTCAGAGCTCAGGATCCACTGGATGAAACTTCTTCCTGCCCTGAGCAGCCCCAGGGATGCATAGCTGTCCCCATCCCACTTACTGGGGCTCTGGACCCACACCTTGCTTTTCTTTCATGGTCTGTCCCCAGAGGACTTCAGGGAGTGCTGAGAATTTGCCCCCAACCCTATTTCCCCTGTCCTTACTGTTGCACTCAGGTAGTGCTCCTCAGACACCAGCTGCTGCCCTGCTGCTGCTAGTGCCTCAAATTCCTTGAGTTTCTCTTCAATTCTGCTCTCCAGTTCCTCACATGGAGTCTCCGGGATACTGGAGCTGCTTGGGCTTTCAGAGAAGATCTGAGCCCGTGTGTCCTCAGTCCAGGAGCTGTGAGCACATGAAAGACAGGTTGAGGAATGACCCAAACCTTCTCCAGCCCTGCAGGCCCCAGGGAAGCCATTCCCATGCTCAGGGATAGCTGGAAGCAGCTCATTAGCGTTGTGGCAAGACTGTTGAGGCAGGACAAGATGCTGCAGGGCTGCCTCACAACAGACAGCTGTGGTACAACCCTGCATTCCAGGCTCCCCATGATCATGCCTGGCTGCAGCTCCAGCACTGCCCACATAGTTGCCAATGCCATGCTCTCACCAGCTCCCCCTCAGCCACCACAGAAGCAACCCCAACAGGTCACTGCCACTTACATCATGGCTAAATAATCCTTGAAGAAGTGCCGGAGCTGGCTGGCCTGCTGCACGCGGAGCCGGGTCTCCCGCAGCAGCTCTCGCAGCCCTGCCCAGGCCCACAGAGTCTCCTGCAGCTTCCAGCTGATGGGGCACTGCCGAGCGGGGCACAGCTCTTGCACACGGGCAGCTGTCCTCTCCAGCTCCTCCAGCTGCCCTTGCAGGGTCTGTGACACTGCTTGCTAAAGATCACAAGGCAGGAAAGGTTCAAGATGCATCCAAACCCTCTGAACTCAGGCTGGATTCCCCTGCATTCTGGGATGCAGGGACAGAGGAGAGGATGCTGGTACATGGGCTGCAGAGAGTGGGCAGAGCTAGCCTCCGTGGGGAGCACAGGAAGAGCACAGAACTGCCTGGCTTCCCTGCCCTGGGTGCATGAGTCGCTTCCCCACCAGAGGGAAGATAAGTGAGGTGCTGGCAGCTGGGTGTTGGCACATGTGAGCTGATGCAAGCTCTATCCCCTTGCCTGGCCTGTGCTATCAGAGGGGATCAGAGCAGGCAAGTCTCAGCTCCACTGGAAAATTCCAGCCCGCCTCGCCACAGTGTGCCAAAGTTTACAACACCTGGGCCCCCAGACAGGGGTCAGCGCCTCACTGGGACAGCCCCAGCCAGCTGGAGCACCTCCCTGGCAGTGCTCCCCTGACTCACCTCCATCTCCTGCTGGCAGCTTAGCAAGCCCTGCAGCCCTTGCAGGTCCTTCTCACTCTTCACCGTGGTGAAGCTCTTCTCTGCTAGGACAATGTCTTGAGACAGAGTCTTGGCTCTGCACTGAAGGGCCTCCAGCTGTGGGGATATCTTCGCCACCTGGATAGACAGGAGGAGACATGGAGGGAGATTAGCCCCAGGGTGGAAGACCCTGTGCTACCACCTGCTACACAGCCCCAAGCCCACCCTGGCCTGGGGACACCCTGCCATGCAGCTGCAAAAGGGCAGGTGCCAGCCATGGGAGAGAAAAGGATACCAGCCTCACACAGAGTGGTCCCCATGAATCCCAATGTCCTTGTGTCCCACTGAGGACAGCTGAAGTGCATCCCCTGTCCAGTGAGCCAGCATGTCCAGCTGCAGATGAAGCACCTGCTTGCATCCCCAGGCTCCCAGCCTCCATTCCTTACCAAACGCTCCAGGCTCTCCGTCTCTGCTGCCACCTCCATGACCCTCTCCCGCTCCTTCGCTGCATCATTCAGCATCTCCACGGCCTCCTGCAGCTCTCCCAAGGGGCGCCTCATCTCCTCACTGCTTGGAGACTTCTCAGTCTGGGCTGAGAGCAGGGCAAAACACCCCTGCGAGCCACAACGCCCACTCCCTGCCTGAAGCCAGCAGAAACACCAAATGTAAGAGATGGGGAGTGACACCCCAGGCAGCTGGGATGGAGGGGAGCACCCAATAGGGGCCCCTTGCCAACCACAGATCAACCCTTAAGTCTAATCCCAGGTGCTGTGTGACCCCAAGGGATGCTTGGCCACATTGCTCACCACTGCAGATCCCTGCTGGCTCCCTGCCTCCTCCTCTTGCAGGTCCTGCAGGAACTCAGACAGCACCAGGGAGTCCCACAGAGCTGCTGCCCGGTGCCGTAGGGCCGCCTGCACATGTGCCAGCCTGTGGGGAGAGGTGCTCATCAGAGGTGCTGGCAGCTTCTGCACCTCCTCAGGGACAACATCCTCCTCCCCATCCAACCTGGGGACCAGATAAGAGGCACTTGCCTCCAGGACTCACTTCTCCTCCACCATCTCCACTTTCCTCTGCATCTTCCTTGCCCCCTCGTGCTCAGTGGGCGACTCGCCTGCTGCTTCTTCCCGCAGTGCCTGCAGCTTGAGGCCACAGAGCAGGAGCTGCTTCTCCAGCTGGCTCATTTCTTCCAGGTCCCGGCGCAGCTCTGCTGAGCTTCTCATGGCGACTGATTCCAAGAGTGACCCAGCCACGTCTTGCAGCCACCGCTCAGCCTGGTCCAGCTCTCCCACAAGCCTCAGTGCCTTCAGGGAGAGCAGGTTACCCATCAGCCTGGCTCTGAGCCAGCCAGAGGAGGCAGGAGCCATGCTGGCATCCCACTGGAGGTACCTGGGGCACAGGCAGCACAGTGGGAGAAGTGTGCCATCTGCAAGGCCAGCCAGAGACATCAGTGCCAGTGTTGCAGCTCCAGGCCCCAGAGGTGCCAGCCTCACTTGGTGATCCCCAGCAAGCTGCTCCAATTGGGGCATGCCCTGTGCTCACCCTAGCCCTGACACCACATACCTTATCGATTTCTTGCAGCACTACGCCGTTCTCCTGATGCCTCCTCTGCAGGTCCTCCCATAACTCTCCCAATTCCCACAGCATGGCCTCCACCTGAGGGCTCCTGGGAGGCCTTCCTCGTGCTGGTTCCTCCTGGGAGGCAGGGAGGGCAGTTAGGATGGGTCCCACCTGGTGTCCTGCCCGCACCTCATATCCAAGCAGGCTCACCAGGAGCACAGCCCTGGTACTGGAGCTGGGGGACAGGGGCTCTTGCTGAATCCTTGCTGCCTCCGGGCTTGCCACTGGACATGAGGGGACTCCCATACCCATACTCTCCTTGTATGGGGACAGAGTCTGCCAAGGAGCAGGAGACATGCTGGGTTAGTGCCCAGACCAGGCATGTAGGCACAAGCCTTCATGCCCACGAGCAGCAGGAGGAGGTTAGGGAAGTGACTCCCTGTCTCCTCTTGGATGGGCAGGGAGCAAAGGGGACTCTTGGGGAGACATTACCTGGCAGACATCCTGCACTTGGGTCTCCAGCTGCTGCAGCCCCCGCTCAGTCTCTTCCTCTCTCGTCCTCCAGCAGAGAGAGAAGGACAGTCAGGACTGCAAGTTCCCCCTTGCACAGAGGAACCCCATCCCCATCCCGTTTGATTATGTCCTACTCCCACAGCCACCTCCACAAGCTGGTACCTTTTGTTGTCCCCTCCATGAGGGGTCTGTCCCACTGCTGGGGAGCCAGGGTTGCTCTCCTCTCCTTTCTTGTGCTCTGCCATCTTCTCCAGCACATCTTTTGGTACCTGTGGCACAAAGATTCCCATTCCTCCTTGGCCAGCACAAAGCATATACCTGCTTTGTCCCGGGCCTGGCACTTATCACCTCCCACAAATGGTGGGACCAGATCCAGGAGTGTTCAGCTTGGATTCTGCCCAACACCTGAACCCCTTTCCCAAAGGCTCCCTTGTCTTCTGGAAGCAGAGGAGCTGCAGATGCCTGGAGGGAGATAGTGCTTACCATGCTGCCAAGTCCTCTTGTCCACTTGGCTGCTGCTTCCTTACCCACAGCCCCATGTCTGCTATCGTCAACTCGGGGCTCAGCATTTGGAGCTGCAGCTTTGCCCCCTGGGGAACTGTCTGCCCGTGCTGGAACCTTCCCTGTCCTGGGAAAGGAAGGCAAGGGAAGCCCAGGGGAGCAGAGGATAAAGAGAGACCTTGAGTGAAGCCCCAGAGACAGCCTCCTGGGGGCTAACCCAGGTCTTTCCCAAGCCTCTGGCTCCAGTGCTGGGAGGTCAGGGTTGGGACCCTGGTGCTCCTGCCCAGCTATGCTCTACCTCAGTGCCTGTTGGAGCTGTGCCCAGCTCTCCTTTACGTCTCGGTGCTTTGAGGTGACTTGGGCTGCCAGGCTGGGCTGTAAGTTTAGGAGCTGGGACACTGTCACATCCAGCATCTGGAGAAGAGAGAGCAGCTGGGAAGTGATGGAGACAGAGTTCAAGAGTGATAAACCACAATGGCCATGGGGAGGGTGCGTGATGACAACCAGTCCTCTGGGGACAGAAGAGGCAGTGAGTGCCTATCCAAGTCCTTGTCTGCCCCCGGGGAGATTCCCCCATCCATCACACAGCCTCAGCCACCAACATAGTGGGGGGTGCTGGCAGAGCCCACAGCGCTGCTGGTGGCAGAGCTGGCCTGGGAAGGCTCACATTCCCCCCTGTCAGGATGTTCCCCAGGGCTCAGAGGACAAAGCAGAGCATCACACTCACCATCACCTGGCTGGCTATGTCCCTGATATCCCGATCCTGGCATGGCTCGCCCTCCCCTGGCTTCTCTGTACTGCAGATGCTGCTCTGCTGTAAGGAGAGGCCACGGTCAGCAGTGGGAGGAGGACAGGGCCCTGCTCCCAGCTTCAGCAGAAAGAAACAGTGCAAAGCTGCACTTGCCAACCTGGCTCCCTTTCTCCATCCCCTGGTTCTCTCCCCACAGCCCAGGCTGAGAGTGCTGGGACCACAGGAGCTTCCATGCAGGGGACAAGAGCGAGATACTGCCCACCATGTTTCATTCAGGCCATGCAACAGCCCCACATACTAGGGTGAACCTGGATGAAGTGCAGATACCTTTGCATGGATGACCCCCAGCAGGATATCTGCTTGCTGGAGGAAGGAGGCCACCTCCAGGGCCAGCTGCAGAGCCTTGTGGTGCTCCTTCAGGGTCCCCTGCAGCCGAAGCCACCTGAGCAGGTGAAAGGGGAAAGGTGAATGGCAGCCTGTGCCTGTCTGGGGAGCTGTGCAGAGCTAGGCCAGGAAGTCTGGGTGGGTTCTGCTTCCCAGTCAGTCAGCTCATGGTGCCTGGCTCAGCCCTGCTCAGCCCATGTGTCCTCCACTCACGATCTGTTGAGTTGCTTGCGCCGGGCTGAGACGTTTCTGCTCTCATTTTTGCCTTGTTTCTCCAGCTTCTGGGCCAGGCTGTTCAGCTCTTTGTGCAGACTCTGGAACTGCTGCTCCTCCTGGCCCAAGCAGAGAGGAAAGACATCAGCATCCCTCCTCAGGGACCTGTACCATGCCCCAGCCTCAAGGTATTTGAGGTCCCTGAAAGGTCAGCAATCCCCCAGCAGTATCTCACCTGCTTCAAGTCAAGGATGCGGCGAGTAAGCTGGATCTTATCTGGGCTTTCCTGCAGGAGGGCTGCCAGAGAGGGCCTATCCTCCTGGGCCAGGCAAGGGTGTGAGAAGGTGGGGGACAACCAGGCTGTCCCCTTCCCCAGACCATGCTTCCCATCCCTCAAACCTTGTCCTTGATCCATGTCTCCAGCCGCTCAGCTTTCCTGTTAAAGTCCTGCAGACCCCGCAGCCCCCCGAGGGCTTTGCTCTGGCTGGCAGCCGTCTGCTTCAGGAGCTGCCACTGGTCCTGCAGGGCCAGCAGCTGCCTCTGCACGGCCTCAGCACTGGGGCTTGCCCTCCACATCAGCTGCTCACCCATCTGTGGGGCCAAGCAACCCACTCAGCATCAGAGGTTCCCAGGGATCCTCTGCTGCAGAGAACCCAGAGACATGTGCTGTGAGTAACGGGATCCATGCCATGCTATGGTCTGCCTGGCCCCACCTGATTGAGCTTTATCAGTGTGTTCTCAAAATCCTTCATGTCCCGCTGCAAGGTCTGAGCCACCTCCTCACAATCCTGGAGATCACAGCCGTCCTTCAGGTCCCGCAGCTTGCCTCGCACCCAGGTCTCTGCCTGCAACATACAAAGAGCCACGTGGCTGGGGGCCCCCACCAGAGCCTCAAGGACACGGCTTTGGGGACCTGAGCCCAAACCTTCCCAAAGCTGTGACAGGGACTGGAGTGCACCCTTTCAGCTGAAAACACGTTTGCTCTGGGAATCAACGGGCCAGCACTCAGGACAGCATCTGTGGCAATGGGGATGTGAAGGTGTGCAGCACCTCACTTCTGTCCATCGTCTGCCTCAGCCCAGCAGGAGAAACTGGGCTTGCCCAAGCAGGCGGGTCTGCACAGAACATCCCTGCACAAAGCATCTCTCCTCGCTGCACCCTGCTCCCCAGTGCAAACACCCATGCATTCTTCCCACCATGGCATGGAAGCAGCCCTCCCACCATCTCAGTTCCCATGCTGCTGGGGAGGGACAGGGCCTGAGAGGAGGAAGAGAATGGGGCACAGGAGGAGCATGCGCACACAGAGAGGAAGCAGGGCCCTGGTGTGGGCTGACCCCCTCTCCCTAGGGCTGACAGCCAGGGAGAGGCAGCCAAACATGATCTCATGCCACAACCATGGCTTTGCTCAGGCTGGGAGTTCAACCCTCCCTGCTGCACACCCCACCCCACAGCTCTCAAGAAAGGCTGCCGGTGGCCCTCCATTCCACTTCCTATGCAGACCCTTGGGAGGGGGCCTCAGCTGGCCTCACCTGCAGCATCTCCCGGTTGAACTTGGCTATCAGAGGACTCAGGTCCAGGAGAGGGGCTGCTTCCACACCACTTCGCCCACTGCATCTTGGTGCTGCAGCAGACTCCTTGCCCTTAGGGCTCTCTTTCTGGGGTGATGACACCGGGGATCCTGCCAGCTGGGGGGAGCAGAGGCAGGGTTGGGAGTGTCAGTGTGCTGCCCCAGGGAGCCCTCCCTGTTACCTCCCAGGAGCATTTTAGAAACCCAAATGAAGGAGGTCAGCATGCCTTATTCTTAATGCTACTCTTTCACTGACATATTTGGGGTTCTCCTCCCGCACACTGAGGTACCACTTCCCTCTACCAAGGCTACATTGGTGGCTTTTGCAACCCCAGCAGGGGGTTGCTGGGCTGTCCTTCAAGTGAGTCACTCTCTAGGTCATTCCAGGCTGTTGGGAGGGCATCCTGTACCTGGACTGGTCCTGGCACCCACACTGGAGATGGATGCAGTGCTTGCTGCCCCTCCAGCCTCAGGCAGTGCATCCCTGTGAGGAGCATTCATTTCTTTAGCATCTGTTTGGTGTCATGCAGGGGGATGATGCCAGGGGATGGGATGGAGGGACCATGAGGCAGGTTCCTGGTAAGCCCCACCACTCCTTTGGTGGCACCCAAAACTCCCATCCCCAGTGAGTGGTTGGAGGGGGCAGAGAGCACAGCATCTCCCTTGGGATTTGGCCTTGTGGACAGTTGATGCTGATGAAACTCTCTGTCAGGGTTCCAGCTCTGCCAGGGGTGACAGCAAAGGTCAGCCAATGAAAGTGCTGGCCCTTCTCCAAACTCAGCCCTGGACCCAGCTGCACGCAGCCCAGGGGATAGCACTGTCATCCGGGCACTTGCTTCCCACCCTTCTGTCCAGGGATGGGGATCTGACTGCATATTAACTGGTGGCAAACAGGAAACTGAGAATTTTCAGGAGGAACCCAAAGGTGCAAGGCTTGCTGCCTCCTCTCAGCAGGCAGAAATTGCTCCTGGCCTAGCCTGGGACAGCCCTTCCTTCTTGAGAGGGCTGGGTGTGAGCTGCCTCACAGGGTCTTAGCTGCACCGGAGCCTCCCAGCGAGCAATTTTCCAGGACCCTGTGGAGCAGTGAGGTTCAGGCAACTGTTTCTGGCTCTCTAAGCACTTTGGCATGTGGTGCCCTGCTGACACCATGGGAGTCACTTTCCAATGCCTGTTCTACTTAACCACAAGAACTACAGAAATCCTCTTTTTTTTTTTTTTTTTTTTTTTTTTTTTTTTTTTTTTTTTTTTTTTTTTTTTTTTTTTTTTTTTTTTTTTTTTTTTTTTTTTTTTTTTAATAGCAACACAGATTCTCAGGCCCTCTTATGACTCTACGACCTTTAGTCTCTTGACTCAGCCATGGCCGGAGGAGCCCATAATCTGGCCCTTGGAAGCAATAAAGCCTCTGGGTGCTGCCTGGGGGGCTGATTCCTTGCCCCATCATGCCCAGCTTGTTCCAGCACTGATTGGAAGAGGCAAGGCTCCATCCACACCTGGGCACACCACCAGTGACCAGCCTCATTACTCAGCTCCAAGCTGCATATCATGCCCCGCTAATGTTGAGGGCAGGGGGACATACCGCATAGAAGGGAGAGCATCTGCCCACTGGAGAGCAGAAAACACTGGCCTGAACACTCCCAGGCTCCTGCTGCTTGTTGTCTGCATCCACATCCTTCCTGAGGAAGACCTAGAGGCAGGAAGGCACAGCTGTAAGCCTGGTAGTGCTTAACTGTCCTGGCAGCCAAGGAGACAGAGGAGCATTCACCCACCTCCCCCTGCCCTGGGCCAGAGGCAGCTGCTGGTAGTACCCAGACGCTGCTTGGCTGCGCTCTTGCCCATCCCTCCCTATGCATCTAGGCCGGTCTTCTCTGAGCAGCATCCACAGCTCCCACTATGTATCCAGCAAGTGGCAAGAACTCCTAAGGTTGCTTTGCTCACAACCTCCTTCATTTTAGCTCCCAGTACCCCAGACAATCTTTTCTCTCCTTGAATTGATTCCAAAGCCAGCAGAAATCAATTAATGATCACCACTGGTTCCAGGTCATCTAAGGATGTTCAGAGTGAGACTCCCCTGCCCTCTTCCAGGACAGTAGGGCAGAGGCATGAGGGTACAGGATGACATCAACTCCAGCATCATGAACTTGAATCCTCTCAGCTGCTGATTCCTGATCTCAGTCTAGCTGGGAGATGAGTTAAGGGGGCAGCTGGTTTGCAGAGAAGGGCTTCCAAAGGACAGGGGTGAGTGTGGAACATGAGAGGCAGAAGGAAGAAAGTCCAGGAAGTTCAGCCAGGCACAGAGAGGATGTGCAGGATGAACTCCACATTACCTTATCCTTGATGCAGCACAGCCCCAGGAGGAGAGGTGCGTGGGATTGTTTGGATCATGCCCAAGGGCATTAAGCCTCATCCTCTACAGATGGATCTTTTCTTGGGCTGTTGGATATAACAGGCTAACTTAGGGACCTCCTTCCAATTCCTTCCTGGGGCCACCTTGCTGTCTCTGTAGCAGCCATCCAAGTGGGCACAGGGCAACAGAAACAGGGTGGTGGACAATGTGTGCTGCCCTGACAACCCCTCCTCCGAGACAGCTGCAAACGCGGCACTGGATCAGCCAGAGCCGGCCTACCGCTCCTCAGGCCACTCCAAACTGAGGACACTGTCCAAGGGAAACAAACCTAGGCAAATTAGAACTCCCTTCTTGCACAGCACATTGCTTCCCACCATCTCTCCAGCACTGCAGAAGAGTCCTGACATGAACAGCAGCCCCCAGCATAGAGCTGCTGCCACCAAAAAGTCTCAGATCCCTACAAGCGGCCCAATAGCTCTACAACTTCTAGGAGAGCAGCACCACTGGACCTTTCCAAGGGCTTGCAAAGCTTGGCCCAGGGCTGCAGAGGACAGACTGCTGCCACATGCCACAGCATCCCATCCCAAACAGAGTACAAGGCTGAATCACAGCTTAGCATGCACAGTGAGAACTCAGCAGGAGGGTATTAGAAGGAAAAGGAAACTCCTTGCCTGACCACAGAGCTGAGAGTTTTGGCTGCCTATTTAGGGAATGATAGGGAGCTAAATGTGAAGTGCCTGTGAGGCATAAGACCCTAGAAAGCTTTATGCAGTAACATCTCAGGCTGGCCTCCAATGCTCAGCCGTGGGAGACAAGCCTGCAGGTGACACGGGAGCTTTATTTAAAGTCCCTGTCTCACGATCCGTCAGCCGCAGGAAAACAGGGCTGCCAGCACAACGATGACTTCATCCTTCCTGCAGAGCTGCTCCACCGGGACTACCCCCCCTTCTCGGTCCCTCTGGCTGGAGCTGGGTCCTCGATCGGGCAAAACAACAAACTCTCTCAGCAAACAAAGTCCAGGAGAAGGAGCTGAGCCTGCCTCATCATCCATGAGGTGCTGTGCTAAATGCTCCCTAGCAGGACACCAGGCTTCATGACATGAGCAAAGCCACACGTGAAATGAGCGCAGCAGCCTCAGCTGCCACCTCTGCAAACACTTTTTCCCCCTCTAAAAGCAAAATTAACACGGCACATATGCTTGCCGCATTCCCATAAGAATAGGTGCCAGTGACTTCCCACGAACAAGACGAGTGGGGCCAGACCCTCCTAGGCAGAACTGTGCTCATCCCGGAGAAGCCCCTCATTCCTATGGGGCGGCAGTGAAGGGCAAATCAAAGGGCTGCGGGGTACACTCAGGAAGGCATTACCGTGCTCTGTGTGGGAGATAGTGTCCCTCCTCTCCTCCAGCTGCCATCCCACATGTTCTCCCCTGCCTGTCAGCTCCCTCTTTCTCCCAAAGCTCCATCTTGCAGCCTGCCCACCTCTTTCAGCTCCACATGCTTATGCTGGACAGGGAGGAGGGGCTGATCCTGGCAGCCTCCCGAGAGTCCCACACCACCGTGCCCAGCACGTGTCCCTACCTTATATGAAAGAGGGGAGCCCTCATGCCCATGCCCTTTGGGCTGCGCAGACTCTGGCCGCCCAGCGAGGAGCTGATTGCGTGCTGGAGGAAGCGGCACCTCTTGCGAGGCTGTGCCTGGCCTTTATTGGCAATGAAGATGAGGGTTTTGGCAGTGGGATGCGCGGTTCTCCCTAGTACTATTCTGCCGGGAAACCAGCTCTTGCAGGTCAGGGTTAATTCCCAAGGAGTTCCTGCCTGCTCTTGCCAGAAACTGCGACGTCTCCGAGATGCCTCCCCCCCGTCAGGGGGTCTCCTGAGCTCTGGCACTGTTGAATTCGTACCTCTGCGCCTGCTAGCGCTCAGACTTGGAAGGCGGGGTGCCGAGAGCCCTGGGTCCTGATCCTAACCTTGTCCCAGCTTTGCCTGGCTGTGTGGCCCTTCATGAGTCACTTCCCTTCTCCCAGCCTCCGTTTCCCCTCTGGTAAATGAGAGAGTGAGTTCCCAGCTCCCCGCACTCAACTGCAGCATCACAGGCATCTCGAAAGCTGAGCCCTCCATAGCCAGGCTCCAGGGCAGGGCTTTTCTGACTCATCTCAGCCCCGGGGAAAGCTCATCTCCGCTCACCCGCGAAGACTTCCCGCCCGCCAGCCTGATGTGACAGAGAAGTGCGTGGGGGGCACACGGGAGGAAAAGCAACTACTCCAGGAGCCCGGCAACGACTGCTACCTGGACGGCATGGGGATAAGGCAACAGGGATGGGCGCAGCCTCCCCAGGACCTATCCATCCCTTGGCAGCGAGGAATGGGGAATTGCAGGGAAAACGGGGCGAGGACAGGGCACAGAGTACCGGGATCGCTTACCTTGAATTGAGCTTTCCCCGTCCTGCTGTTGTTATTGTTGTGGTTCCTTTCGCTGCTGGCGCGGGCAGGGTCCCCGGGTCCCCCTGCCTCTCCCGTGCCAGCGTCCCCGTACCAGTTGGACAGCGTGATCTTCTTAATGGAGCGGGCTAGGGAGCTGCGGTTCAGCCGGTCCTCCTCGGGGCCCCCGTCCTCACCGGGGCTGGGGCTGCGGGGCTGCCCCGCGTGGGCGGCGGGACCGGCCCGGGCGTGGGCCAGGTAGAGGGAGATGCGCTCGTTGATGCTGCGACGGAGGCCGCGGTGGCTGTCCAGCGCGGAGGCGAGGGCGATGCCGGGGCAGGCGTCTCTGGGGAAGTCCGCGGCACACTTGGGCACCGAGAGCCTGGTGCTGATGGTGAAGGGCTGCACCTTCCTCGCCGTGCTGCCCGACATTCTCGCCCTTCCCGCTGCCCGCTGCGGGCAGTGGGAGTCCCGGCCCGGGCACCGTGGAGTGAAGAGGCAGTGCGGGGGCCCCCACCGCCCGGGAGAGCGGGCGATGGAGATCGCCCGGGCAGCGCCGGCTCCTTCCCCGGGGCGGGCAGGGGCGCTCAGCGGCGGGGCGGCCCCGCGGAGGGGGGAAGCGGGGCGGGGGGCGGCCCAGCAACCATGGCCGGAGCGGAGAGACGCGGGCAGCCCTCCGGCCTCGGCTGCCTGGGCGGGCCCTCCGCCCCCGCCGGGGCGCGTCCCCTCCCCTGCCCAGTCCCTCCTCCTGCAGCGGGCCGGACAGGCGGGGGGAGGCGCCGCGCCTTGCCGGGTCCGTCCCGTCCCGTCCCTGCCCGTGGCCGGCCGGCTTCAGTCGTCCGCCTTCTTGCGCAGGTTGAGGAGGCAGAGCAGGCAGGTGAGCAGGGCCTGGCGGCTCTCCCGGGAGCGCAGCCGGCGCCCCAGGCGGCGGAGCGGCGGCAGCAGGCGCCGGCGGGCCAGCGGCAGCAGGCGGGCGAGCAGGGCGCGCAGCAGCGAGGCGGCCAGCGGCGGGGCGGGCATGCTGCCCCGAGCCCGCGGGCACGGCGGCGCACCCGCGGCTGACCTGCGGGAGCGGGGGTGCTCGGCAGCTCCTCGCGTTTTGGAACGTCTGAGCTGAGCGGGAAGTCCCCTGAGAGCGGGGACTGCCTGGGGCAGGCTCGAGGTTGGAGCACTGGAAGGGGCTCCTTCCCGTCTCTTGCCCGGGTTACTCTTACCCTCTTTGGGATCCTTGCTGCCCCGGGACACCACTCAGCTCTTTCTCCCGGAGTAGCCTGGACTGCTCAGCCTCCCCAGCGTGAACCTGCCACCAGCCCTAATGGCAGGAACAGCTCCAGAGCAAGGGACAACAAAAAGCCCCCCAGCTGTTCATTTAAATGGCCCCTCCTCCCAGGCCCGACACAGCTCCCTGAAAGGTCGCAGTCGGGGCCCCATTTGTCGGGGTGGCAGGGTAGGGGACATAACGGGGGCAAGGGAGGATCAACATCTGCCCACCACAGGAATGTGGGCTGTCAGGGTGGGGTTCTGTTTCACTGCAAGGCTTTGCCGTAGCCCTTGAGCAGGCAGCTGAGTCCAAAATATGCTTTTTTGTCATTCCCTGCCAGTGCCACCAATTGTCACCCTGCTCCTATAAGGGTCAGGAATGCAGATCAGGTGAGCCAACAAGGAAAGTACACAGGGCTGGCCCAAGGCATAACATACTCATGTGAAGTTGTGTACTCCCTTGAGAAAGAGCTTTAATTTGGCTCCATGGGTGGCTCAAGAGCAGGATAGTAATGAGTATCCTGCACGTTCCAGCTGTGTTCCAGTGTTCCCAAGCTGAGTTAGCTTGCAGCAAGCAGCCAGGAGAGCACAAGCTAGCCAGACTGAGCATGCAGGCAGGAAAGTCCATGGTCATGTCTGTGCCCTTCCACTTCCCTCCCGTGCCAAACCTTTGTTTTGTTCCTTGGATGTCTGTTTTTGTTTCCTCCCCTTGTTTCCTTCCAAAACCCTGCCAAGGCCCTACTTTTGGCTCTCGCTCAAGAAGAATTTAGGAGAACGAACAGACACAAGGGACCAAAAGCTACTGTTCCATTTCCCTGCCTGCCTGCTGTAAGCTGTCCCTTGCCCAGTAAGTCCCATCCAAGGGTGGTTAGTTCAGCCAGGGTGACCTTTCCCAGCCCCACAGATTCTTCCCAGGGAGCCAACCATGGATGAGGAAAGCAGGCTGGCTATGCCTCGTCACAGGGACACCATGTGCTGAAAGCAGAAACAGAGAAACAGCTCCCCGATGGTCCCAGAGCTTCAAGGACTGGGGTTGATGTCAGCCCCTTGGGACTGGACTCCTGGAGGCTCCCGGGCTCTGGGTCTGCCGTGGTCAGAGGCCGTGCCGCAGGCGCAGGGCTCTGCTGCGCCTGCCGCCAGCTCTGCACTGGGAGCAGGAAGAGCTCAGAGGAAGGAAGTGGGAGCCAAAGCTTTGCTGCAGCTATGTCAGGGTTTGCGTTTCCCCAGGAGGGAGCATCTCCCCTTCGATCAGGGAGGCAGCAGGTGCAGTCCTTGGCCTGCTCTTGAGACTTCTGGGTTTACTGTGCTGCAGGCGATCCTGGATAAGCCTTACTTAGTGCCTTATTTTCCCCAGCAGTACAGCTCCATTGGGAATATCGTCTCCTTGTGCAGAGGGCATTTGCAGCATCCTATCTCTGAGGTGGCTGAGGACCACTGGGATGAAAATGCAGCATCCTAGGTCAGTGTTAGTCATGATAGTAATAGAGGAGAGTGGACATCTTATTCCCCAGGGAGCCTTTTCCTAGGAAAAGCCTTGCCTGAGCTGGGGGAACTGATCTACCTGCCATCCTTACCGGAGGAATCCTGTCCTCCAGTCCTACCAGAAAAGAGGTGCTGACCAGGTGCAGAGATGCTGCAGCACATTCCTGGGAGCATTGCCTCTTGAGTGGATGGAAAATTCTTTGGGAACAAAGGGGTGTTGGCCCTGATTCTTAAGATTTTCTGAAGCCTTCTGAGTTTACATTCTTGTAGAGAACTTTCTCTCACAGCTTTCTGTAAACCATCTATTGTTTTGCATTCCTCCATAGAGGCAGAGAAATTTGATGTACTAGTAGTTTGTCCAATGTCAGTGGAGAGGTGGCACATTCACCCTCCAATCCACTGTCACCTTTGGAAAAGTATAAATGCTGGAGTCAGAAAATAAACTTCCTCTTTTTCACCTTTGCAGTAGCAGCGGGTCGTGTCATGCTTTCACATGTGTGTAGTGACAAAGGGGCTGTAGTGTGGCCTCTGCAGAAACCTGCTCCTTCCTGGGGAGGGAGCACAAAAGGCTCTCACCCTGCTTTGAGAGCCAGATGCTTGCAACATCCCAACTGGGAAGAAAGTGGGGCAAGGCTTAATTGCCAAGCTCTTGGGACTTATAGAAAAGCAGATTTTTGTCTCTTGCCAAACATTCAGAGATCTTGCCAAGTTATTTCCCCATCTGGAAGGTATGGGTCTTTAGCCTCCAAGTGGGCAAAAGTACAGCCCACGGAGATGAAGGGATGTAAACTTGCTCCTCTGTTGAGTAATGCCCAAGAGAAAATGCAACCTTGAAAGAAAACAAAATCACATCAGTATCTACTTCAAAATGAAAGATTTAGGGCAGCAGAGTTGTGCCCATGTGTTTCCTAGGCCAAGGCATGTAGAGCTTTGCTGTAACTTCTGTGATCCATGGAGGGCTTTCTGGTCCTGCAATCACTGCTCTGTCTCTCAACACTTTTTACTTGTCTGTATTTCATCCCTCTCCACCAAGGGACTCAAAATTCCTCACCAGATGATTGGCTTATGTTTTGCAGGGTATGTGTCAAGACCACTTCCTTTCAGGCATCCGTTTGCTTTATTGTACCACCTATTAACTGATGGGAAGGGCTGAGATCCACTGGGGCTGGAGCCAGCCAGTACCTCCATCTCCTCTGTGAGAGGATGGACCCATTGGGAGGCCACCTCAGAGGAGGCACGGCTGTAGGGTCATGGGTGTGTGACATGTCAGTATCTGGGCAGGAGATGGCTGTGCTACCTCCTAGTACAACTCCCCTTGGTTGCTGCTGCCCTTCTGTGGAGGGAATGTCTTCTGAGCAGTCCTGTGCCCCGTCACGCAGCAGGCAAATCTGGCACTGGCACCACTCAGCCTGCTCCCACAACAGCATCTCTGCTCTGGGGGAGGGCAAGACCCTCATGCCATCTCAGAGGCAGGGGACAGAGCAATCATGGGCAATAGGCTGTTTTATGATAAAACCTCCAAAGGATTCAGCAGGGATCATGGGAAGAAGGGCATCTTCACCATCTGTATGAGATTCGCTGCAAGTTTTGCTCTGGGCAGCACTGGGAACTCTCAAAAGTGGCAGGGGAGGAAGATGAGAGTCAGGAAGGTCAAGAATATTTTGTTTTAGGAAGCCTCACCCTTCTGGCAGGGATCCCAGAGGGTGATGGGGACAGTGGTGGCACTCAAGCACCTAGCCCCATGCAGGAGGAGCACAGGCCGTTCCTACTGATGAGGGACACAAGTGCTATAAATAGGTTGTTTAATGCACTGTGGGCAGGCCTTGGAAAACCCCAGCCCATGCTCATTCCCTGCTGCTGGCACTGAGACAGCAGCTGTTGAAAAAGGCTGAATCCGGCAGCTGCTGGCTGGCACTCCTGGCCCCTGCCCCAAGTCCCAGGCCTCCTGCTCCCTTTGTGGGGTGGCTGAGAACTTAGCATCCCTTGGCACAGGCGCTGAGGCTCGGTACTGGTGTTGGTGCTGCTTCCTCAGCCAGCAGTGACTGCAGGATGCTGCTGGTGCTGGAGGGACAAGGAGGATGAGGGCTTTCCTGCCTTGATATCCCTCGCAGTAGTGGGGAGACTGCCGTGCCTGGCTGGGAGCTGTGGGGCCATACCAGAGTCAGCTGCTGCCCACCCACGAGCCCTCAGCTGTGGCTGTCCCCAGCCCCAGCTTGAGATGCTGGGCTGGGCCCCCACACCCTGTCTCTGTTCACACAAAGGCCCCTTGTGCCCACGGGAATGGGGCGGAGTGAAGCATAGCCAAGGGGGAGATGCCAGAGCCCAGCTGCTGGGGCAGCTGGTGGGCCAGCTGGGGATGGGCTGTGGTCCTGGCCCACTCCTGTGCCTCGGGAATGGACACGAGCAGCTGGTGGGAGAAGGGGAACCCCCAGGGAGGGCAGGCAGCTCTGGGCTGTGGGAGACAGGGCCAAATGAGGTGCAGGAAATTCTGGGATGTTGGGGAGCAGGAGCAGTGGTGCTGTGCATCCATGGTCGCTGCTGGCCCACCCAGCACAGATCTATGGGATAGGTGTGGGAAAGGCAGAAGTGCTGGCTAGTGTCTGTCGCAAGACTAAGCCAAAGCTAAGAGCAGGTTTGGTCACACCTGACCCCCTTGCTACTCCCCTCACCTCAGGATTTAAGGTGTCTGCTGGGCATCTTCCTTGTCCCCTTTGCAATGAGGGGGAGGAACCAGGCTACTTTTAGTGGCATTAGCTGGTAGCTGGGGAAGCCCCCAGCTGCTGACTCCCTGCTGATACTGATCTGCCAGCTGCTGGGGCCATCGAGGGAAGGGATCTGCCAGCTGGCACCCA